ACCACATCCTGCCCCACCGGCTCTGATGGAGATGGTGCTGCTGTGCTCCCTTCAGCCATCAGCCAGAGAGAAGGGAGCAGAAGTTCTGTGAGCTTGAGCTACTGCAACATGGGGGTGAACAGAGGTGAAGTCAGGCATCAGGAGAACCTCTCCTGCAGAAGGTGCTGCCTGCCCAAACACAGCAGTGCCCACGGCCATGCACCACCCCAGCCTCAGGGCACCCCGCACTGAGCAGACAAAAGCACCCTCCCTTGCACAGCTGGAGCACAGCCAGCAGTGGAAGCACACAGATGACCTCGCCTTCCTCCCCTGCTTACACATCAGAAGCTTTCAGAACCAAGTCAGCCTGCATAATTTGCTTCCTCGCCAAAGAGGCGTTGCAGCGTTTTCCCAGCACTGCGTGGAGGGAGGAGGGATGGATAACCACACTCATCCCCTGCACATCACCGTGGGAAGAGCTCTGAGAGCAGGTATAGGGCTGAGCTGCTGGAAAAGAGCTTTGCAGAGAAGGACCTGCCGGTGCCAGTGGCCAACAGGCAGACCAGTCCGATACCCTGGTGACCAAGAAGGGCAAATGGACCCTGCAGTGCATTGCACAGCGTGTGGCCAGGACAGCAGGGGAGTGATCCTCCGCTCTGCCCTGGGGAGGGCACAGCCATAGCATGGGGCTTCCCAGCTCCAGGCAGACAGGAACCACTCCCACAGCCCAGCAGCCCCTGTGCCATGCTCTGCGCATCGTGAGAGACACGCCATGCTATGCCATCCTATTCCATGCCATGCCAGCCTCCTCCAGCAGCAGAGCCGCCCCCGCCGCACCGCTCGGAGGTAATTGTAGGTTATTACTGCACTGCTGTTGTTAAATACAGATCACTTCTCTTCCGACAAGCATGCTGTGTAATACAAACTCCAATCATCTCCCTCCTCCACCTCACACCTCTGCTCACCCAGAGCCGTGTGGTGGCACAGCCGCTGAGGGCACATGCTGCTCTGCATGTAACATAGCAGGGACGCAGTGCTGACACCCCACAGCTGCATGCAGCATCAGCTCCAGGCCGATCCTCAGTAAATAGGCAAGTAAAGGAAAAGGTAATGAACTGGTAATGGTAAAAAAGGTAATGAAAGGAAAAGGTAATGACAGGATGCATGATTTTAACGTGACCATTCCTGCTGCACTGCCTCAGCTAAGTGCATAAATTGCTGCACTGCTGCATTCCTGCAGAGCTCCTGCTGCTCTCCAGCTGACGCTCGTTCTGCACAACGCAGTGCTGGCACGCTGGGCTGCCCCAGTGCCACTGCTCATCTTCAGCTGCTGCACAGCACTGAGCCCGATGTTTGGTAACAAATACCACAGTAATGCCTTGCTTACATGATTTTAAGACCAAAAAGAACAACAATAACAGCAGTTGACAAAGAGCTGCATTTAACCTCTGTGGCTCTACCCCATCCAGCAGCACAGAGCCCAAAGGGAACATCACTGCAGTCACACACAGCAATGGGGCAGAGCAGGAGGGGGGCAAAGGAGCGCCTGGGATGGGAGAGGGACGAAGGAGCTAGGCTGAGGAATGAGCACACACTCCGTTACCCTGCAGGATCCACACAGGTTTAGAAGTGAAGCACCATCCAGAAAGCACTGCCATGACTTCTCAGCAGAGAGCTCAGGAGAAAATGAGTTTCTAAAATTAAACCAGCAAAAGGAGAGAACGGAATATTTTTGCATTGATTTCGTTCCATGAATATTTATAAAACTTTGTTTAATAATACTAAATTAAAGAAATTAAAAAAAAAAAAAGAATCAGAGTTCTGGGTGAGAACAACCACCTGCCTCTCCTTCTGCCACCGCAGCGCAAAGCAAACAGGAGGGAAAGCTGCAGCAGCAGCCATGGCTGCGCACACCCTGCAGGGAGCGGGAAGGGCACAGGGCCAGGCAGCACCCACTGAAGCTGCACTGCTCTGGCTGTGCAGGGTGACCCACGGTGCGATCCTGGGGGCACCATCCCCATCCCACGTCCCCATGACCCCCCTCGGCACAGCTCCGGGTGGGCACAGCTCCGTGCCCACAGCCCCACGGCCAAGCAGTGCTCTGCTCAGTCCAGACATTCATCTGCACTAATGTTAACTGGCAAATAACTGCTACGAATGGAACTGCCCTTCAGCTCCTGCTATGCCTCCTGTTAAGTGCCAGAGGTAACGGGCTCAGGCGCTGCATAACACTGCTTGGTCCATTCCCATCACACCATGTCCATGCACAACATGGCAGGGACTGGGGGACGTGGGGCTCATCTGGAGCAGCACAGCACAGCCCTTGCAGGAGCAGCCCCACACTCAGAGTGGGCAGCACATGGGGCTGAGCAGCACATTGCCCTGCTCTGCAGCAGTGCCTGTCCTCCCTCCTCTGGCCAAAGGTTTTCCTGCTTGACACCAACAGCACTTCCACGCCTTAAGCCAAAGGACCTCCACAGATCCTCTGGGGTATGGCAGAGAGGAAAAAAATGTGGAGGTACAAGAATTTATAGATTACAAAGCAAAAAGGGATGAGAGCAAAAGGAGAGACATACGTTGTCATGGTAACCACCAACTGCAGGAGTAACAGAGATGGGGGAAGAGATGGGAAAGGAGAGAGAAATGAGTGCACTGCAGTTCGTGCCATTTCCACAGTCACATCCCCAGAAGAGCTGGGTGAGGGACAGCAGCATCAGCCCGAACTCTGGGGGGAGCACAGGGCCCCAGCACACAGCTCCATTGGGACCCAGCCCTCAGCACCCCCACACCACAAGGGGCGCAGGCTGAGGCACTGGGCACAACACAGCAATTAGGACAGCCAGACACCAGCATTAATGGTGCCAAATGTCAAATTGTGATTAGATATGAGCAGCACTCACTGCACGGTGACATACATTAGTGGCATTTCTGTTTCCAGACCTCAGCACAACCTATCAAAGTCAAAGCTGCATGAATGCACAATGCTGTTGGGTCAGCAATGGAGCTGTGACCTGGATTGCACCCACCCCCAGAAGTTGCTCAGACCCTCCTGCAGCCACGCAGGCTGCCCCAAAGGACCCTCAGCTCTAATGAGTGCATTACAGAGGCACACAGTCAGCAGAAATCACCCCACACGAGGGTGGGCTGCAGGATCTCCAGTGCCCAGTTAATGCTGGGAGAGCCCCCAGCCTCTGTGAGCTGCACAGAACCACCCTCAGCACAGCAGCTCTGCTCCATGGGCGAGCTCCCACCCTGCAAGGCACCACACTGGAGAAGCCCTTCCCTCCAGGCCCTGACAGCTCCTAAATGCTCCTACACTATTTTTACCCCGGGGTTGCTATAGAAACATCAGACCCACTTGCAATGATGCAGCCTCTCTCGGAAGCGCTGCATCACCGCCTGCCTCCTGCCTGTGAGCGCTCACAGGGCGGGGGGCTGCTATTTTGGGAGCCCTGCACTCAGCACAGCCCCCCCAGCTGGAAGCAGGATGGAGAGCAGACACGGGGAGATGGAGGGAGGGGGCATTTCAGGGCCCCACCAACCCACCACCCCATCCCCAGCCAGTCCTGCTGCCCCCCCATCCCCTCCGCGCGCACAAGGAGGCTCCCGCAGCAGCAGGATTGCAGCGAGCTGTACCTGAGGCAGATCCACTCAAGCTGCAGCTGATCGGGGTTTTCCCTTCCCATAGAGAGCTGAGTCCTGCTAAAGCCAAGCAGAGAACCGCACCGGCAGTCCAACGCATGGGGCTGCAACCACGCAGTGTCCCTGTGGTCCCTGCAGCACGGCCGTGCGCCCAGCAGAGCCTCCAGCCCTGCTGCAGCCAGGGTAGGGATGCACAGCAGGCACAGCACTGCCCGGCCACGCCAGACGGTCACAGCCAGGCTGTTGCTGGCAGAGGCCATCAGAGAGGTCAGCTAGTTCTTTACGCCACAGGAAGCTGCTACTTACTTAATTTTTCCAGCAGAAGACAGAGTCAAAGTTAATTTGTGCAAACCTGCAAACACACAGCGTTTTTCTGCTCAGGTCTGAGGGGGAACAGCTTCATGCAAGGGGCACCCAACCCCCCTCACCCCAAACACCTCCACATCCAGCACAGCCAGCACTGTAACATGGGGACACCACAGGCACCCTCAGCAGCCCCAGCTCTCAGTGAAGGCTTCACAACCCCATCACCTGCCCGGACCAGAACAGGCTCTCACAGAGCACAGGAGTCTGAGACAAGCGCAGCACAGGGCCACAACACATGAGCACACTGAGGAGTTGATACCCACAGCCCCCATGCCATATATGCCCAGGGCTGCCCCAGGCATCTGCCCCAGGCGCCCCACTGAGCCCGATGGGGCAGAGACGTGCCTTACCCAGCACAGCAGCAGCCCTCAGGGCAGAGCTGATGATCTCCAAAACATCAGCACCAAACTCCCCCCTCCCCAACAGCTGCGTCCATCCCTCTGAGTGAATGCATTTATAAAAAGCTGCTGTGTGGGGATGAGCTGGCAGAAATAGCTGCACACAGCCGTCGCCACACCGTGTAAGAGATGATCACCAGCTGTTCTGTAAAGTGCCCAAAATAGAGCCAGCGTAACACAGCTCCTGGGGAGATGGCGCGCATTTAGCTGAGCCCAGCAGCAAAGCTGCCCACCTCCCCCACACACCTCGAGCAGCCTCTGCCCCAGCTGGAGCCAGGCTCTGACAAGACACCAGCTGCACTTGCTGCCGTTCCCAAAACATTCGGGGACGTGGTGACAAGGGGGGACCACAACCCCAAGTCCTGTGTTCACAGCCTCAGTCAGCACAGCCCCCCAGGGCACACAGACACATGCTGGACGTTCCAATGCAGTCCCAGCAGGCAGCAGCTGCTCTCTCTTCCTTCAGGCTGGGCTCCAATTTTAACCAGAAAGCTGCAATAGGCAGACCAGAGCTACCTGCAAGGTCCAAGCAGCACCCAACATCTCTGCTGTGCTGTCACCTGCGACGTCACATACCCCTCCACATCCAAGATACATCACAGAAGGAGTGGGAGAGCTCAGCTGAAGTCTCCCACATCACACACATCATGTGCTCACTGCCCTCCTGCTGAATGGCACCAAGTTCACCACACTGTGCCCCCCAGGCAGCGCCACAGCCCCGGAGCTGTGCAGCCATTACTCAGCAAATCATTATGAATAACGACCGGCACTGACAAAAATGCAACCTGTGATGGTGTGCAAGTAGGAAATAGGGGGCACACCTCCATTAATCACTCATAATGAGTTGGTCAACTCAACGGGAAGTAGAAGACAAACTCAGATACGTTCTGCATGGAAGTGGAGTGGGCTCTAAGGAATGCTTTGACCCCACCTGTGAGGCAGCCTCTGCTGCAAGCCCTGTGGGCTCTGTGAGCAGCCCCAACCCAGCATGCTGGTGGCGACCCAGTGCAGAATGCCTGCTCGGGGCCAGCAGCACATGGCCCTGCCCTCACACATCCCAGAGCCTTGCTTTCCCCACTGCCCCTTCCCACCGTGGCCGTATCCCTGCCCTGCACCAGATGCCCACCTGCTTAGCTTCCCCCTAACGTCAATCCAGTCTCAGAGCACCATGATAACCACAGCTCAGGCAGCAGCATCTTCCCACATGGCAGAGCTGCACACAGAGCTGTGCCAGTTGTGCACCTGCAGTTACTTCCCACCCTCTGGCTGGTTATCTGCCCCTGGTGAGACTCCAGAGGATCACCCAGCAACCTCAGGGTAAGGCAGGCTGGATGCTGCACAACAGCAGTGGAACTAGAGGTTTCTGTCCCAGTGACAGCAGGATGCCCGTGGTCACAGTGCTTCTCTGCAGGCACTGAGGGGAGATCTCCATCCTAGAAAACAGCACACGGCCTCTGGTTCCCTTGTGCAGCAGGACAGTTTGGTGTCCCCACTGATGCACTCAGGCCACAGGAGCACACTGTCACTGTTGGGAGATGGACCTCGAGGGGGTCTCCAGCTCAGTGACAGGCCCAGCTGTGAGCTCAGCCCAGTTTGCTCATCACTGCATCCCCTTGAGCCTTGACAGCTCCTAAGGAAGGAGAGGTCCAACCTCAGTTTGGGTACACTGCAGTGCCAGGCCACCCTCAGCAACTCCTGGGCACAGTGACATACACAGGGCACTGATGGCACACACGGGCACCAGAAGACACGAGTGGCACATCTCCACAGCCACACATGTGGGCAGCGACTCAGACAGCCCCTGCATGCAAACACAGCGCTGTGCTGTACCTGGGCACTCACAGGTATGGATACACACACAGGGACTGCATGTGCACTCAGCCACCCGGCATACACTTGCACCCACGCAGCCACAGCCCTGCGTGCATCACGGCACAGACACACTCAGCCCTCAGGACGTGCACACGCACACACACACTCATCCCTGGCACACACAGACCGCAGCCCCGCCCCGCACACGCGGATCCAGACGCGCACCGTCCCGCCCCCGCTCGGACCCGGCTGTGCTGGACGCAGCCCCGCACACGGCCCCCCCCTCTCCGCACCCAGCGGGGGCGAACGCGCCGCCCCGCGCCCTCCTCCTCGCGCAGCCCCGGTGCGCACAGCGGGGCCGGTACCGGGCACCGCACACGGCTAACGGGTACCGGCACGGCGCAGCAGGTAACGGGGGCGGACCCCGGCTTCGGGAAGGGACCTGCGCCCCGCTGTCGCCGCACCGAGCCCGGCGCAGAGGCAGGTGACGCGGCACCGCAGCACCGGTGAGAGGAGATGGAGGTGAGAGCAACTTCGGGATCAGTCCGGGGGTCTCGGGGAGCAGCCCTGGGCATCGGACGCAGTGCTGCCGGGGGGACTGGGAGCACTCACAGCCTTCGGACAGCGCTGGGCTGACAGGGAGATGGGCGCTGCGGGAGCCACGCATCAATGGGCACGAGCTGGGGGAAGGGGAGAGCAGGTAGAGCATCGCGCGCGTGCCGTGGGGGAAAGCGGTGAGCGCAGACTGCGGAGCGCTGCGGGTGATGGAGCGGGGGGAGATGCCCAGGGGAGAGCGCTGCTCGCCGCTGGGCAGCAGGGAGCGGTGATGGAAGAGCAGGGCGAGCAGGCGGCGGGGCTCCTGGGACACCGCACCTCTGACATCGCCGCGGTGCTCGGCCCCGCAAGCTGCCGCCTCTGCCCCGCACACGGCACTCACCGGGTCTCAGCGCTGCTGCTCCACAGGCACACAGCCCCTTGGTTCCCGAATGGTGCCGCGGAGCAGCATGCAGGAGCCTTGCCCTGCTGCAAGTCCCGGATCAGCAGGAGGGCAGGCGAGCCCCTGCCGAGCAGGGGCAGGAAGCACTTTCCAGAAGGGAGGGTGTCTGCTGATCCCTTGAGCCAGTCCTGCTGCAGAGAGCTGCATGAGAATGCTGCTCTCTCACAGCACTCTCCTACACAAGGACTCCCAGCAGCACCATGAAGCAGCACAGGGTTACACACAACAGAGCAGCAGCTGCTTAGAATTTCCATCAGCAGTGAGGACCACAGCCCCAGCTGCACAGGAGATGCCTGCAGCCTCCAGCGGGCTCCATGTTACAGAGCAAGGGGCCTCTGAGGCACAATAGAGCCATGCCAGTAACAGGGTCACGTTGGTGGCTCTGGCACTGAAAGAAGTCAGCTGCATTCAAGGAAATGTCAGCATGCCTGTGGGAGCAGAGCTGAAGGAAAGCAAGGCCAGGTGAACTGAGGTGCATCATCAAGGAGCAGCGAGAACAGAGCTGCCCCATGTAGGGAGACAAGCTATGAGAGCTCCCTGAGAGCAGGGAGCAAGACCTCACCTGTAGGGCAGGAGTAGGCTGCTAACAGCTATAGGTCACACAAGCAGAGATCACCAGGAGAAGGCAGAATAGCAAACTCCATCCACAGGAGAAGTCCAGCAAACAAAGATACTCCTACAGAGCTGGGCACAACCTCACACACCAAACCAGGCTTAGGGCCTGCCTTTAAATAGGGCTCCCAGCCCATAGCAGGGGGTGTGGGGGCCCAGGTGAAGCTGCTCAGCAATCAGCACTGATTGGTGCTCGCAGGGCTGGCAGCCAGCACACCTGGATGGGGTGACAGCAGGGGCTGAGTCTGGTGGGGCTTCTTGGCAAACATTACATCTGAAATGAATTCACTGAGAGGGGAGCAATGCCATAATATGAATGATGAGCTGAGAGAAGGCAGTGCCAGTGCACCTCCCAGCTGGCTCCAAGCAGTGCTGGCACTCCAGGAGACTCCAGAGGAAACAAAGATTTCCTCCTGCTGCAGTTCCTCCCACACCCCAGTATCCCCAGCAGGCAGCACAAGGCGCTGTGGCAGAACCACAGCATGATTTGGATTGGAAGATGTCTTACTCCCCCCCCAGTTCTAACCCCTCCATGGGCAGTGATACTTCCCACAGCCCAGAGCCCCATCCAAACCTGGCTGTGAGCACTTCAAAGATGGGGAACCCGCAGCCACCCTAGGCAGCCTATACCAGGGCCTCAGTACCCTCGTGGTACAGAATCCCTTTCACATGTCTAACCTAAATTCAACCTCTTCCAATGTGGGAAAGTGCTGCAGGGCTGCCCATGTGCAGAGGGCTCAGCAGAGGCTTCAGGGGGCCTCACCTCTCCATCCCCATTCCTCCCCAGCTGCTGTGAGCCCTACGTGCCATGGATGAGGTGACGGAGCTGCAGACCGGGGGGAACTCCCTCCTGAAGGCAGTGTGGCTGGGCCGGCTGCGGCTGACCCGGCTGCTGCTGGAGGGGGGGGCCTACATCAACGAGAGCAACGAGAAGGGGGAGACGGCGCTGATGGTGGCCTGCATCACCACGCACGTGGACCAGCAGAGCATCAGCAAGGCCAAGATGGTGAAATACCTGCTGGACAACAGGGCTGACCCCAACATCCAGGACAAGTCTGGGAAGACGGCCCTGATGCACGCCTGCATCCGTGGCGCAGGTGGCGAGGTGGTGACCCTGCTGCTGGACAATGGGGCCGATCCCAGCCTGGAGGACCACTCTGGTGCCTCTGCACTGGTGCACGCCATCAATGCCGATGACAAGGATGTTTTGCAGCACCTCCTGAATGCTTGCAGAGCCAAGGGGAAGGAGGTGATCATCATCACCATGGACAAGTCGGCCACCGGCGCCAAGGCCACCAAGCAGTACCTGAACGTGCCCCCCTTGCTGGACTTCAAGGAGAGAGCCTCCCCTGAGACGAGCACCACAGCGCTGAAGGTGGCTGCCCCATGCCCACAGCCTGCCGAGCAGGAGCTGCCCCCCGGGGACGGTCCTCCCACCAAGGCCACCCCTGAGCCACCCTCCCCGGGCTGGAGGGGTGGCACCACCACCAAGAGAGCGCGGCTCCCGCAGCTGAAGCGGCTGCAGTCGGAGCCGTGGGGGCTGGTTGCGCCCTCAGTGCTGGCTGCGCACCACGAGGAGCAGCGGGTGCGCACAGATGATGAGCTGGTCAGCAGCATCGGGGAGCTTGCGCTGTGCAGGAAGGCTCCCCTCAGCCGCAGCAAGGATGCGTCCCTGTTCCCGCTGGTGGACGAGCAGGCGCTGCGCACGCCTCCAGCCCCCGGGTCCGGCTGCAGGAAGGGGTTCGAGAAGGGCCCCCAGCGCCTGCCTCGCAGGAGCACAGTGCCAGAGCCACCGGAGAGCAGCGAGGTGATGGAGGCCCTGCACTGGCGGCGGATGAGTGCCGAGCACCACGACTGTGACGCCGGCATGGCCGAGGTGGGGAAGGTGGCTGCGGAGAGGAGGAAGCTGAGCGGCTCTCACCTGGCTCTGCTGGGTGGTTCACGGGAGGCTCTGGATGGTGCCCCCAGCACCTCGCCCGCCGCCACCCGTCGCCCACCCAACCTGCTGGAACGGCGCGGCTCTGGCACGCTGCTGCTGGACCACATCACGCACACCCGGCCCGGCTACCTGCCCCCCCTCAACGTCAACCCCAGCCCCCCTATCCCCGACATCGGAGCCGGCGGCAAGGCCCCCTCCCCGCTGGCTGCCGGCTTCAGGGCCCTGGTGCCCGTTGCGCCCAGCTCCCCCAAGCGGGGTGACCTGAGAACCAAAAAGAAGCTCCTCCGGAGGCACTCCATGCAGCTGGAGCAGATGAGGCAGCTCTCTGATTTTGAGGAAATCGTGGCGCAGTAGCCGCTTTCCCCAGAAGTTCCCCAAACTGCTCTCTAGTAACACACGGCAGTTCGGAGCGGGGCGGTGCTGCCCTGGGAAGCGCTGGCAGCCCCGGGCGCACAGCCCCATGCACAGAGCGCTTTTCCCAGAGCTGGGGGGACAAGAGGTGGCAGGCAGCACAGAACTGAGTGCCTGGAGCCCTGCCATGCCAGATGCTTTTGGACTCCCCCCCCCCCCCACGAGCACTTATCTGAGAAATCCAACCCCAGCACGTTTAGGTAGAGGCAGGCGTCACACAAAGGCTCCTGGCTGCAGTGTGTTTGTTCCTGGTTATTTACGATCCATTTTTCATCCCTCCCACTCATCCTAATGCAGAAAGCAGTCTGGGAGCCCCACACCGGGGAGTCGGGGGCTGACGTGTGTGTGAAGTGCCTACCGGGAAGGAGCTCAACGCCGCGAGAGGATGGAGAGCAGAAATAACCCTCCTTAGCAATTGAATGTATTTATACCCTCACTGTGCTGCAGAGGCGAGACAACGCTCAGAGGTTCTGTGATTCCGTTTCCAAGCATTTTGCAACACAGAGCCAGATCCATTGCTGGTGCAGCTGGGGAGCCGTGCAGAGTTCCGTGCAGGGTTTGGCACACTGTGCCCCCCACACTGTGGGGAACGCGGCTGCCCGGCCCCGCTGCGCTGCGGGTACCCAAGGATGGATGCGCTGCGGTTCCGCCTGCACGGGAGCGCCCTCTGGAAATGCGTTTTCGATTTAAATGTGTTGTTTAGAGTAAAGGTGGGCTTATATTTTTACAGCCTTAAAGTTTATACTTCCTGTTGCTCAGATGTCTTACAGACGGAATTTCAGGCACGCTTTATCTCTAGCCATGAAGTTCGTCTCTATTTTTGGCTGAGGGATCCCAAATCCCAGAGTTCTCATTCGTGCATCTCCCCATATCTTTATTGACGCTTCCGCCGGCGCCCTCTGACAGCGGTGGTGCAAACACAGCTCAGCTCCTCCTTGCGCAGGGGCTGTGAGCGCGCGTCTCACTGCGGGAGCGCGCATCTCACTGCGGGAGCGCGGGGTAGCGCCGCACCGCAGCCATTGCCGCTCGCGTGTGCGGTGCGGGGGTGACGCCGTGTGACGGACGGCGGTTTTACATCCCCGCTCTGCCCGCAGCCGCCCGGCCCCGGCCCCCGACGTCCCCCGGCCACGCACGGAGCCGCCCCAGCCCGGAAGCGCCGCGGTGCCGCCACGTCAGGGAGAGACGGCCCCGGGCGGGGCGAGCGCGGGGCCGAGCGGTGCGGTGCGGTGCGGTGCGGTGCGGGACGGGCGGGATGCGAGGCTGGATGCGGAGCTGGGCGCTGGCCCTGTTGCTGGGCGCTCTGCGCGCGAGCGGCACCGAGCTCACTTTCGAGCTGCCCGACAGCGACAAGCAGTGCTTCCACCAAGAGCTGGACCGAGGCCTCAAGTTCACGCTGGACTACCAGGTACGGCTCTGCCCCTACCCGTGCCTCCGCCGTGCCCCCCAGCCCCCGCAGAGCCCCAAGCAGGGCAACCCCTGCACCTCTCCCCCACACCCCTGCTCCCCCAGTGCTGCCCCCGGAGCTGTTCCCAGACTCGTGCCCAGCGGAGCCCACATCAGAGCTGCTTGGGATGTGCCCACAGTCGTCTCCCAGCCCGGGGGTGGGGGCTGTCCCCCCGTGCATTCTGCCCGTGGGCCCCCAGCCTGGCCCCTGCTCATGGTGGGCAGCAGTGCACGGTGCCCACGCTGCTCAGGGCATGGCTGTGCATGTGGCACATTTTGGGGCAGCACTCCTCTGCCCGTGGTGCCGGGTTCTCAGGGTTCAGCAGGTGCTGCCCACATCTCCCTGTACAGGTGATCACTGGGGGCCACTACGATGTCGACTGCTACATCGAGGACCCCAACGGCCGCACCATCTACAGGGAGACCAAAAAGCAGTACGACAGCTTCCCGCACCACACTGAGCTCACGGGGATCTACACCTTCTGCTTCAGCAATGAGTTCTCCACGTTCTCCCACAAAACCATCTACTTTAACCTCCAGGTGGGCGACGAGCCACCCATCCTGCCCGACATGGGCACCCGCGTCACCGCTTTGACACAGGTGTGTTGCAGCATGTGGCCAAACGGCACAACCCCGTGCGACCGCACTCGCTCCCTTCCCCTTCGCTGAGTGCAGAGGTGCCAGCTGCCGGGCAGCGCCGTGCCAGCCTACTGGTGGCAGAGCGGAGCCATGGTGCCAGGCTGGGGCACAGAGCCCTCGCTGAGCCACATGGTGTCCCGTTGCCCACCGGCCTCCAGCGCTGCCCCTTGGAGCAGAGCCGCGTCAGCAGACCCGGCAGCCCCTCCCCCTGGGGAGCCGTGCCCAGTGGGTGACGCTGCATGCCTGTGCCCCCAGATGGAGTCTGCCTGCGTCACCATCCACGAGGCGCTGAACGCGGTGATCGACTCCCAGACTCACTACCGCCTGCGGGAAGCACAGGACCGCAGCCGGGCTGAGGACCTCAACGGGCGCGTCTCGTATTGGTCGGTTGGGGAAACCGTCATCCTCTTCGTGGTCAGCGTTGGGCAAGTGATGCTGCTCAAAAGTTTCTTCACTGAGAAGAGGCCGGGCAGCAGTGCAGCTGGCACCTAGTGCCACAGCTGTGCCCATCCCAAACTGCAGGAGGGAGCGGGGGTTTTCATGGCGCTGCAGCAGGGACGAGGCTGGGCATGGAATGGGGATTGCTGGTGTTGCTCACCCAGGTGGAAAACAGCTGCCATGCACCAGCATCCCCACACATATCCCCCCCAGCAGCAACCCCCAGGATGTCACCTGCCCCCACCAGTGCCAGGCCACCTCTGGGCTGCATGCCACCAGCATAGGTCAGCCCCCCACCTGCAGACTGCAGGCTTTGCATCCGGCTGCGTGTGCACAGCTCCCTGCTGTGTCTGCAATGGGCAGGTTGTGCCCCAAGCACACACAGCATCTCCCACGTTGAAATTTCAGCAGGGGCTCTTGGCTTGTTTATTTCATCTGCTTCTCCCTGTGCAGCATTTCTTAGGCCACGGGAGTAAGCAGCATGCTCCACAGAAGATATTTTTGTACTTACCTGAGTTCATGCCAGAGCCCCATCCCCTTCCCTTAGTCCTAGCCCTCAGGGGCAGCTGGCTGCAGCACCCGGCCAGCTCCAGCAGCACCACTTTGTCCTTCCACTTTGCCACTTCACAATAAACGTGATTCTGTTCCTGCTGCTGTTATTGGGCACTGCTCCCAACATGGCATGGCAAGCTCCTGCCCCATCGTGCCCCCAGAGCCCCCCAGTGCTGTCAGTATCTGTGCATGGCTGCTGCCCTCCTGGGGACCTGGCGTGATGCTGCTCCTCATGCACGGCTGCACCTGCAGGTGCAGTGCCATGCCATGCAGCCATGGTGTGGGATCAGGGCATCAGCACCATCCTTCAGCCCTGCCATCACCAGCCTGCGGGGACTGCAGCTCTGTGCTCAGCTCCCTCCCAGCTCCCTGCAGCAACTGTGGGGCTCTTGCAGTGCCTCCAGAACCCAGCCCACCCTGGGGCCATGTCCAGCCCTGCTGCAGAACGGGGTGCAAGGATGGGTGCCCAGAGCTCACTGTGCCCATCCCACCCATGCACCTGCTGGAGCAATGCCAGACTCTTACTGCAGACCTCTATCCAAGGGGATGCATTTTGGCAGCTCCAAATTCTTCCTGTGTCCACTGCCTGCTTGCACAGGTCCAGACTGGGCCAGCAGCAGCATCAGGATCTGACAAATGCACTTACCACACAATTCCATGTACCAGACCTGGGGAACCCCGCTGAGGAGTGGCTCTCGCTGCCCTCTCCCCACCAGCGGCCCCCACCCTTGCAGGAACCACAGCCACAGCCCACGCTGGGGCCGGGGCAGCAGCCCCCACAGTAGCAGAGCAGCAAAGCTGCGTCCCTGGCCCCGGCAGCAGCACTGGCCTTGGAGCAGCTGCTTGGCTGCTGGGCGCTGCCAGGCTCCAGCACCTCACAACGACCTTCAGCAGCAGCCCGGATCCTGTTCCCAGCAGCAAGCGGGTGCAGGGCTGGCACAGGACCAGAGGGACCGCAAGCTCTGCTCTGTGCAGCCCCCAGCAGCACTGTTGCTGGAGATGGAAGCCACCCTGGCCTTGGGAACAACAGCCAGGGTCCCTACACAACCCATCCCCAGCCCCAGTGCAGCCACACCCATGGATGCAGGCAGCACACAAGATGGCCACAGGATGCTTTATTACCGTGTTGTGCTCCAGCATGTAACATAAATGGGTGCAGAGAGGGAAGAGGGGTGGCTCACACCCACCTGGCTGTAGGAGCAGCTCTGCTCTACCACTTACAGAAGAATTTTGGAGCAGAGCCCCCACCGCCTGCCCTTGCTGTTGTGCCCTTGCTGGTCACACAGTGCCATCTTCGTGGCATCACACTGCCCTGGCTCACGGCGCACTGCTCTGGCAGGAACTGGCCCCAGTGGGCAGCCCCAGCTCGATAGGTGGCTGTGGCCCCTCTGTGCCGCCTGTACTCTGCCTGCCCCGCAGAGATGAGGCCGAACAGTGGAAGGAACCCGTGGCTGAGGAGGGTGGCTCAGGCTCAGGGCTGTGCCCACAGGGACAACTGCAGCGCCTCTGGAAGGGGATGGTGAAGAGCCCATAGGTGATGGGGTCCAGGCAGGCATTGAAGAGGCCGAAGATGAAGAGGATGTGGGAGAGGGATGGCGGGACCTTTTGCTGCATGGCCCGTGGGCAGAACCAGTACCACAGCCCCAGCAGGTAGTAGGGGGTCCAACAGAGGATGAAGGAGGAGACGATGACCAGGCTCATCTTCAGCGTGCGTAGCCGTGCCCGTGGGATGTTGTTCCCAGAGCACCGCAGCGGCACGTCCCTGGAGGAGACTGAAATGTGGGAGTGGGAGCAGTGAGCGGGGGCTCAGCCACATGGGCAGGACGGTAACCACACCCCAAGCAGGGAGCAAGGACCCCCACCATCCTGACCAAGGCTGCACACTCGGATCCGCTCGCAGCCCCCCTGCCAGCCCCACTCACAGAGGCTGGAGCCCATGCGCCGGGAGATCTCGAGCAGGATGCGTGTGTAGCAGCACACCATGATGAGCAGCGGCAGCAGGAAGAGGCAGGAGAAGCTCAGCATGTTGTAGAGGGTCTCGTGCCAGGGCTGCGGGAAGCTGCCGCGCGTGGTGCACTGCGTGAAGTTGTGCGGGGCGTGCAGGGTGACGGTGTGGAAGAGGAACAGCTGGAAGCAGAGCAGAGGTGGGACGGGGCTGAGATGGAGACCCCGCCCCTCCCGCGGGGGGCACCCGGGGGTCTCAGGCCAGGGCTGCAGAGCGCCTGAGCTGCGGGGTTGGGCCCCGCACCGAGGGCTCACGGCGCCGCCACCCCTGAGAAGTCCCCGGGGCCCCCCAGGAGCACGCGGTGCGTGGGGCTGGGCAGGCACCTGCGGCACAGCGAGCGCAGCGCTCAGCATCCACGCGGCACGGAGCATGGCGCGGTTCCTGCGGCGCGCGCGGGCGATGGCCAACGGGCGCAGGATGGCGGCCTGCCGGTCCAGGCTGATGACAACGGTGACGAAGGCGGAGGCGTACATGGCCAGCAGGCGCAGGTACATGAGGAGGCGGCAGGCCAGGTCGCCCGCCCGCCACTGCAGCGTGATGTTCCAGACGGCATCCAACGGCATCACCACCACCGTCACCAGCAGGTCGGCGGCAGCCAGGTGCCGCAGCAGCAGGCGGATGTGGGAGCGCCCGCCGCCCCCCCGGCCCCCTGCCGCCCGCAGCACCGCCACGTTGCAGCCGGCCGAGAGCACAAAGAGCACGAAGGTGGCAGCCACGCGGGCCTGGGCTGCGGGCGAGAAGGTGGGGAGCAGCAGCGGCTCCTCGGCACCCTCGGAACGGGGGCTCCAGGCACAGCCCTGCTTGGGGTGGGACGTGCTGCCAGAGGGCTCCGTGCTGACGTTCCCCGCCTCAGGGCCCGGATCCAGCCAGCCCCCTCCTGCTGCGATAGGCAGATGGGCAGCATGGCCCGTGCAGGGCTGGGGGTGCTCAGGGGACGGGGTGACCTACCGACCCACCCAGAAACCCACCTCAGCTCACAGCATTCCCATCGGCAGCCCCGACACCCCAGAGAACTGTGGGATTCTGGCATCACAGGTAAGCACAGGGAAGTGGTCTCAGCCTCCCCTAGCCCCCTGCCTACCCCAGGCCATTGCTGCTGCCCTGTCCACCCCACTCCAGAACATCCCTCGTGGTCCTCCTACTCAGGGACAAAGGCACTCCCCGGTGCAGGAGCTCTTTGGTGCAGCACCCCATGCTCCCTGCACCCATCTCCCTGCACACCTCACCTGCAGCCACAGCATCCTGCCCTGTTCCCCCGCCGAGCCGGGCCATGTCAGGGCTGCTCAAACGCCACCCACTCGCTGCTCCCAGTGCTTCCACATTGGCACCGGCTGCAGCCAGCTGGGACACAGGCAGCAGGGCCGGCACTGCAGCGCTCTGCTGCCTGCAGCCACCTCCGCTCCCGCCCAGCACCCCGCCAGCTGCTGCCCGTGGGATGCCCTTGGCAGCTCAGGTTGCTCCTTGACGTAGCCAACCTGCGTGGAACGACTCCTCCTTTACCCCGCATCACCCACTATGGATGAGCGTGAACAGCCTCACGCACACAGACACACGTGCACAAATGTACACAGTGTGTTGCCAGCCCAACATGCCTGCACCCAGGCGCTGCGGGGTGCCCGGAGCAGGGGTTGCTGCTGCAGAGCCGGGTGTGGGGTGCACAGTGCTCGTTGCTTTGGGGTGTATCGTTTGTGGGGACCCGAATATCCACAGGTCCCATCTCCCGGCTGCTCCGTAGGACCAGGGCTGCAGGCTGGGGGAGGGGAACGCGGCTCTTTTGCATCTCAAAGGCTGCGTCTCCCAGGCGGAGGGCATTACCGTAATTAGCAAGTCACCTCAGTCATTTCACAGATAAGTGGGGCTCATTAGTCCTGCAGACCTCCTGCCCCAGGGACCCCGGTGCGCATTAGCATCTGCCTGCCAGTCCCAGGATGGGGCTCCGCACAGCTCGACGCCCCGGCCCGCGGGGATCCCCTGCAGCCACGTACCCGCCCTCCACCCGGGACCCGCGGGGTCTCCAGCTCGGCGGGGTGCAGCCCCCAGGTGACCCTGCGACGTGGGGCCCTCCCAGGCTCCGAGCACGGGGTGCGGACATCGCTCAGCTGTCATTGAGCCGCACCGGGGCAGTGCTGGTGAGCTCCATTCCCAGAGCTGGAGGTGTCTGTCCTGATACCTCCCGACAATTGCTTTCCCAGATGCTGTCCCCAGCTGCACGCTGCCGGCTCAGGGCCCCGCAGCGGTGCTGGGTCTGTGTCACAGCCCCTTGCCCGTACTCAGAGAGATGCCCTTGTGCAGTTTCCCCAGCTCAGCTGTCCTCTCAGCCCCAGCATGACGATGGTGCATGTTGCACCCATCCCGCGCCCAGCAGTTGCTGCAGGAATGGCGATAGTCAGAGTGGGCAAAAGGGTTTATTTATGTACAGTCACAGTATATTATGTACAGTCTTAGCCAGCATGGATCCGGGCTCCAAGCACCTTGCTTTCACCACCCCTTAGCTGTCCAAGGGGAGACACATGTCTCCCTGGGTCCTGCAAGTCGTGGGCATCTGATGGTGCATGGCTCAGTCCTGGGGCTGCGGTGGGAGCAGAGCCTCCAGCAGAGAGAGCAGATCTGATGAGATGTCCTGTGGGGAAGAGAGAATCAGTGAGGAAAGCACCGAAGCCAGGGCAGCGATGCAGGGCAGGGCTGGGTGTGGGGCAGCAGCATTAGGGGCTGGCAGAGCCCCCATTAGGAGGGCACCCACTCAGGGACCAGCAGGACTCTGTGCTAGCTGATAGGAGCCCAAATGATGCAAGGAAGAGTGGGAGCAGCTGAAGGATCCAAGCCCCCCACATACACATGCCATAGGGTAGAGGGGGGTCCTCTCCATTCCCAATCCCAGACCACATCACTGTGACCCCAACACCACTTCCACACCACCACAGGAGCACTCCGAGCCAACCAGAGAGATTGTGCCCAGCCCCACATCAGTATCCCAGCTCCACAGCCACGCACATACCTGGGTGACCATCTCTGGATCCACAAAGTCTGGCAGCAGCAGCAGCCCCGTGTCCAGGAAGGGGTCACTGGGGGGGTCTGGAGAGGTCCCTGCCACTGCACAGTGAGGAGGGGATGGCCAGGAGGACACGTTGGAGGCGAGAGCCTCATGCAGCTCCGGGGAGGTCCCCACGATGGGGCTGTAGGAGGGTGATGACCAGAGCCCCATCCCCACATCAGGAACCCCGTGCAGCTCCGGACGGGTCTCCAACACGGGGCCGTTGGAGAGCGACGCCCAGGTCCCCGTCCCCACATCCAGAGCCCCGTGCAGCTCCGGGGGGCTCCCCCACCCCTCCGAGTCGGGGGGCGAAGCATCCTGCGGGGCTGGGGGCCGCAGCCGGGGGTGCGGGGGCTGGCAGCAGCCCAGGCCCCGGGGGCAGAGCGGGCAGCGGCGGGGGGCCGCCCCCCGGCGCAGTAGCAGCACCTCCTCGCTGAGCCCCAGCAGCGCCGAGAGGTGGGCGATGTAGCGGGTGGCGAGGCGCAGGGTCTCGATCTTGGTGAGGCTCTGCCCGGCGGGCGCCAGCGCGGGCGGCAGGTAGTGCCGCAGCCGGTGCATGGCCTGCGCCAGCCGCCGCATCCGCAGCTTCTCCCTCTCGCTGGCGCTCTGCCGTGGGCCCCCGGCCACCCCCGATCCCCTCCTGCCCGCCGGACCGCGGCGCGGTGCCCTGGCAGGGGGTGAGAGGCCGCAGGAGTCGGGTGAGGGTGCCGGCGAGCTGCTGCTGTAGCCCTCGGGCTCGGGGGCTGCGGGGAGACCCCAGTCGTGCAGCGGAGACACGGTGCGGAGCGCGAGGCCGGGAGCTGCCGGGCGGGCCATGGCTGAGGGCTGAGAGCCGCCAGCCCCGGAGTCCCGGCTTTATGCCGGGCCGGAGGTGTGAAGCGGCACCTCCGTGGCCGGCGTCGGCAGCACTTCAAAGGCGGGGAGCGAGGGCAGCCGTCCTTTGAACAGGCGGGTGAGGATTTTTACCCCGGTGGTGTGAGGCTGCTCCGTGCTGCCCACCCCCCGGCACTGCCCGCACCCCAGCACCGGCGCTGGCACGGGGCCGGGGGAGCCCCCCCAGCAGGGACGCACGCGGGGTCTGCGGTGCGGTCTGCTGCAGGATGCGTGCGGTGGGCTCAGCTGCTGGGCCGGCAGCGGGCTGTGCGCTGCGAGCTCTGCGGTGCAATGCACGCTGCAGACGCTGTGGGACCGGCACGTTTCTCTGTCCCCATCACGTCCCCAGTCCGGTAGTCCCGGAGCCCAGCACTGCGCTGTTCCACCCCATCCTGCTCCCCAGTGTGACCTACAGGGCCAGGGAGGGTCCAGCACCATGTCCCCCCATCCTCAGCCAGGGCAGCGGGCTTTGCCCAGGCCCCCCTGCAGTCCTGCTAATGGCATTTCACATGCTGGCACTAATGAGCCCTGACGCCTGTGGAGCCGCCCGGCTCTGCCTGCAGCCGGTGCCCAAAGTCCACTGCTGTGACTGACAGCCCCAGCGCCGCACCCCCGACCCCCGCCTGGCCCCATATCCCACAGCAGCTCTGACTCCATTGCCCCACTCCCGATCTCCAGTACCCACACGCGGCACAGCCTCGCAGACCCCGGCCCCTCCCGGCATTCATGGCCCTGTCCCCGCTCCGGGGGCTGGGAGGGGGCTGGGAGGGGGCCCCCCGCCGCGTTCCCAGGCCCCGCACAGGAGTCGCGCGCTGCGAGTGTAAAGGTTTCCAAGGAAACCCGGCACCGCGCGGGAAGGAAAATAGATCAGGGAGAGAGCGCCGGGGGGGGGGAGAGCATCCCTGTGCCACTGCACGGCCCCACCGCACCGCAGCTGCACATCAGCGGCGCAGCCTGGCCGTGTGCTGGGACAGCCCCTGCGTGGCACGGGATGAAGCAGCGCACACAGCCCCCAGGGCAGGGCGTGCACAGCCCCTGAGATAGCAGGGCTGCTCAGCCTCTCTGCTCATGGGGCGCAGAGCTGGGCACGGGGCACGGAGCCGGGCATGAGGCACGGAACCAGCTGTGGTCACGGGGTGTGCCACTCCACAGGGAAGTGCTGGTGAAGGGACTGCGTGAGCCACCACTTCATCAGCAATGGTCACATGAAAGTCATTCAATTTTCCCTGCACATGCTGTGACATGGAGGTGGTGACTCTCAGCCCTGCCTATCAGTCACCCCCAGTGGGGCCACGGCACATCTGCACTCCTTGCCATGCTGGGCAGTGCCAGTACCGGATCTCCATCCCTCAGAAGTCACATTGTGTGGATGTCACTGTGCCTGAGCACACAGCAGTGCCGACACAGCAGGCACTCCCTGCCCTCGCCCTGGCTGCCACACACTGTGCCCAGCACTGCTGGAGCCACGCACACCCTGGTGCACCCCGGGCTGGCAGGGGCACATCACCACAGGGCACCCCAGCACCTGCCACCCCACTTCAGGCTGTCTGCCACCGCCACACCGCCCCAGCTGGGTGCCATGAGGACACAGCATTTTTCACCCCACGGATGCCACAGACACAGCAGATAAATGCTGATGAATTCACAGCTGTTCCTCTGCCCTCAGTGCAAGAAGTGCCCCTGCGCTGTCCCATCCAAGGTCTGAGCACAATGGAATGCTGTACGGCTCTGCGCTCAGGCTCCTGACACCAGCTGCACACCCACAGGGTTGGAGCTGCACTGGGGACCTGGGGGTCTGCAGATGATCCGCCCAGAAGCACAGAGGGGTGTTTGGGGGTGCTCAGAGGGAGCTCCACACCCATGAGCACAGCCTTGGGCACAGCCCCTTCCCCACACATCCCCCTGCGCAGTGCCAGAACTGCTCCCCCCTGTTCCCAGACCCCCTCCTGTGTCTCATTAGCTGATGAGCTCCCAGGTAATGAGTTTTGCGGCCCTGCTGGGCAGCCATTTCCCACCTCCCTCTGTGTTTAGACAAGTGCTGGAGCACGGCCGGGGCTGGGGTCAGAGCCCCTGCAGAGCAGTGCCTGGAGCTCCCTATCAGGGAGCTGGGATCCCCCGCTCCCTCCATGCTGTGCTGATGGAGTGCAGCACAGGGCACTGCACTGAGGGTCCAGAGATAGATTTAGAGGCCAGGAGCCCAGATCCAAACCTGAGCACTCCTGCAGCTCCCATCCCATCTTGGCACCCTCCTGCCCAGCACCAGGTGCTGCTGCAACACCAGCTCTGAGCCCCAGGATCTCCCACCCACAGTTCTACTGGCTGAGCCCAAAGGCTGCAGGCAGGACTTGTGCCCTGGAGCACCTCACACAGTGCTGCCCACATCCTGGGGTCAGGGCCTGGGGTTTGCCACAGCTGGGCAGGCAACGTGGCTCAGTGTATGTCCACAGTCACACAGATAGTGCTCCCAGCTGCACACAAGCATCTCAGAGACATGCAGCGGCATCCCACAGAGTCAGGGAGACTGAAGCAGCATGGCTGGATGCAGAGACGCTCAGGACCCCCATCTGTCAGCCATGCAAGGGGCAGCGTGGTGTGGGGATGCCAGGGATGCTGGCAATGGAAGGTCAAGGCCTTGCTGCCCCATAGTGCCGTGCCGCAGCGCTGGCAGGGCTGGTCGGCACGTTAGCATCTCTCACGACCGTGTGAATTGGTTCTTGCACACTTCCCAGCACCGGGCAGTGCCAATTAAGGGTTGGAGGAGTCAGAACTGACACCTTCGCAAATGGGTCTGGCTTTCCCAGGCTCCCGGCCCAGTCCCAGCCCACACCATGTAGGTTTTGACACCTCCAGGTGGCCACAGAAGTGTCACCTCGCACCTTGGGCCCACATAAAGCCAGGGCTGCCCAAGGACCCCTGGACGTGCACAGCCCCAGAGCAGAGCCCACCATGGCCGGGTCCCCACTGCTGCCCCACAGCCTCCAGACCCCAACGGCCGCCACGCTGACCCCACCTGGGGAGCTCTGCAGACCCAGCAGCGGGGCTGGGCTGAGGCGGTGCGGGGGTCCGGCGGGCAGGAGGGGATCGGGGGTGGCCGGGGGCCCACGGCAGAGCGCCAGCGAGAGGGAGAAGCTGCGGATGCGGCGGCTGGCGCAGGCCATGCACCGGCTGCGGCACTACCTGCCGCCCGCGCTGGCACCCGCCGGGCAGAGCCTCACCAAGATCGAGACCCTGCGCCTCGCCACCCGCTACATCGCCCACCTCTCGGCGCTGCTGGGGCTCAGCGAGGAGGTGCTGCTACTGCGCCGGGGGGCGGCCCCCCGCCGCTGCCCGCTCTGCCACCGGGGCCTGGGCTGCTGCCAGCCCCCGCACCCCCGGCTGTGGCCCCCAGCCCCGCAGGATGCTTCGCCCCCCGACTCGGAGGGGTGGGGGAGCCCCCCGGAGCTGCACGGGGCTCTGGATGTGGGGACGGGGACCTGGGCGTCGCTCTCCAACGGCCCCGTGTTGGAGACCCGTCCGGAGCTGCACGGGGTTCCTGACGTGGGGATGGGGCTCTGGTCATCACCCTTCTACAGCCCCACCGTGGGGACCCCCCCGGAGCTGCATGGGACACCGGGCTTTATGTCACAGCCCTCACCATCACTGCTGTGCAGCATCAGAGCAGCGACCCCGATGGAGCCCCCCCAGAGATGCGCAGCAGCCACAGGCACCAGGACAGCCCCCTCCTACTGCATGAAGCCCGCAGCCCCCTCCCTGCATCCTGGGATGAAAGCAAAGGCCATGGGACCTTCAGGACTCCACACATGCAGCTCTCAGGTACACACGGGTGCATGCGGGCTGACGGTAGAGCCTGGGATGTGGTGGGGTGGGATGGAGAATGCTCTTGCAGTGCACATGTGTGCCATGACCAGGGTGACTGCATGGGGTGGGGACACAAAGCACACTGAGCTGCAGAGCCAGCCCAGGATGCATGCACATGGCCACAGCACTGTCCGACACAGCCACCTGACACACAGCCTTTCTGCAGATTGGCAGCCCCCTGGACCTGGACATGTTCATCTCCTCCGACGTCCACGGGACCCCTGTCCTGCCCAGCTGCAGCCCTGCACGGTGCTGGGAATGGTGGAGCTGATGCGGTGCCCACAGCTGATGACACAGCGTGGGGACAGTGCCAGGGGGCACTGCGGGACACTGGGAGGGGCTCCTCATTAAAGCTGCCGTGCATTGCTGCACTTTGCCTTTGGTTATTGTGGGGCTCCTGCTCACTGCGCTCCGACATGGGCCCCGGGGTGGGGTTGTGGGAGGGCAATGTTCAGCCTTCACCCTACGCTACTCACCTCGATGTGCTGCCCCCAGTCTCGGGGCTCGGTGTAATGTCCCACAGCCCAGAGATGTCCCCAGGGCTGGAGTGACAGAGGGACCCCATTTCTGCGCTCCCCCAGCCCTCCACCTGCCCCAGCCCCCCCGACTGCTGGGGCACAGCGCCCACCCACCCGCCGAGCCCCCTCTCCTTTCTGCACCCACAGGGTTTGGGGCTGGGGCTCGAGGCGCCGTGCCACCCCCCCGCAGCGCCGCGGCCGAGCTCACACGCAGCCGTCAGACGGAGGGGCCGAGTGCTGGCGTCGGCGCAGCCCCCGGAGCCACTTAGCACCGGGCTCCTAACAGCTCGGGGCCGCCTCCGCTCCAGCCATTTCCTGCCCCGGCCCCGCTCCGCCTCGCAGCCGCGGCCACGCCGCGCTCCCGTGCACCTCTTTATTTACAAGACCCCACGTCTGGCACGAGCCCTCGCTGTGCCCGGCCCCGTGCCCCCCCGCCCATCATCCAGGCGCCGGACGCTTCCCGTCACGAGCAGCGAAGGGCTCGGCCGGGCCGGGCCGGGCGGCAGCGCTCCGGGGTGGGCGCGGGACGGGGACGGAGCGGGCGAGCGGTCGGACCGGCTGCGGGGAGCGGCAGCGGAGCCCCGCGGCGCGGCGGTGCGCAGAGCAGGCTCAGCTGGAGGCGGTCTCGGCGCGGAACCAGGCGAGCACGACCTCCTTGTTCTCCTTCACCCAGTTGATGTTGGTCCTCGTCCGCTCCAGCGCCTGCTCCAGGGCGCGCGTCCCCGAGCCGAAGCCGATGTCCTGGTTGTCTGCCTTGAACTGCTCCAGCTGCGAGGGGGGGACAGAAGGGCTGGGGCGGCGCGGGGACCCCGCAGCGAGCGCACCGCGACGGCAACCAGAGCAGGGCACACGCAGGGCTCGGCGGGACAGAGGGACCCGGGTGTAGGTGCCAGCTGGCAGCCGCTCACCTGCTGCAGCTCAAACTCCGTGTTGAAGCGTTGGGTGACGGCTGAAATCAGCCGGGAGAACGAGAAGGAGCCGCCGCCGTACCTGGGGGAGGGGACAGATGGCTGAGCAGGGGGCTGCGGGGCACAGTGCTGCCCCGTGTTGGAGCTGCTCAGTGTCCCGCCCCGGCACACAGGCAACTGCTGTTGCGGCTCCCCGCCCCATGCAGTGCTCACTGGCCAAAAAGTGTCCTCCAGTTGCCTCGGATGAAGTCCCAGGCCAGCGGCTGCCCCACCACGTTGCTGGCGATGCTGTTGATGGTGGAGGTGGCATCCTGCCTGCGGATCTTGGTGGGGTCAATGGTGTACTGCAGGTACCTGGTGGGGGGAGCTGCCAGGTGAGAGGCTGTGGGGGCAGAGCCGTGCCCCCCCCCGGCCCTGCACCCACCGCTGGAGGATCCAGGTCTCAGTGCTGCAGGTCAGGGCCGTGCGCAGCTTGTCGGCCTCGGACACCACAGGAGCCTCGAGGAAGCGCTCCCAAATGAAGTCCCACACCTCCTCACCGCCCGTGGCCACAGCGCTGCAGTAGATGGCGGAGCGCAGATTCGGGGCGATGCTGTCGGGGAGAGATGTCTCAGCACAGAGCCCTCACTGCGTCCAGCCTCACTGTGCCCAGCCATGGCACTGCAGCACTCACGGGTTGTTGCTGACGTTCTGCTTCCACTGCTGGAAGAGCGCGGTGGCCAGCTGCTGGCACTCAGCGATGCCATAGGAACAGGCTGTGCTGATGGCATTGATCTCGTTGTATCTGGGGGGAGAGAGCAGCCCGCGGGGCTGGGATGGGCGCACAGCCTCTGGCACCCACAGGCCACATGGGGGGCTGCGCGTCCCCCCTGGAGCACACTGCAGTGAGCACTGCACTGCGCACAGGGCAGCAGGTAACCCAGAGCTCTGCGGTACTCACTGATCCATCAGGTTGATGGGGATGGTTGTCCAGTTGTTGGTGACATTCTTGTAATACTCAAAGAGTGGCGTCACTTGCTTCTGGATGTATTTCTGCAGGGCGGGTGGGCAGGGCTCAGCATGCAGCCCCCACAGCACCCCTGGCCCTCAGCACCCCCTGGGGCTGCGCTCACCGTCATGGGCCCGAACACTTCGCTGCGGTCGAACATCAGCTGGAAGTACTGCAGGTTGTTGAGTGCTGCCTGCCAAGGCATGTACGCTGTCTCCCCGCTCAGGAAGCGCGTGGTATTCAGTGCCAACGTCACGCTGACTTGCTGTGCCCTGCAGCGGGGAGATGGCAGCATGGAGATCCTGGTGCCACCCGTGCCACGCATCCCACCAGGTGCCGCCCAGCCGCCCCGCTCACCTGGCCAGGTTGAAGGCGTCATCGATGATCTGCGCCCGGTTGATGACGGGGATGACCTGGGGGAGAGCAGAGCTGGTGCCACAGGGCAGCGCCAGCGTGGGGTGTGCGGGGTGTGTGGGATGGGAGTCCCACGTACCTGGTGGTCGTTGGAGAGCTGCTGCAGGAGCTGATCCCAGTTCTCCTGGTTGTAGTTGACACGGAAGTAGCCGCTGACGTTGAGGTTCAGCAGGAGCCAGGTGGAGCTGCCCACACTGAAGTTGCTGTTGGTGTCTGTGAGGGCAGAGGGGGTCTGCTCCTACACCGAACCCACCAGCACATGGGGTGGCAGCGAGCTCCCAGCCCATACCCCCAGCATCATACCTGAGACATCCACCAGCCAATACCTGTCCCCAGTTCTGATAGGCGTCATCCAGGTGATGGGGACAATCCAAGTGTAGCTGTGCAGGGGACACAAGGCCAACAGCCATTTCTCACCACCCACTCCCCCCATCCCCTCCGCACTCCACAGCACCATAGTCCCAGCCCCACTCACTTGAACACAGAAGGTCTCTCCACTGTGGAGTTGGAGTCCAGAAGGAAGTGGCTCTGCTTGATGCTGCCGGTGAGTGTGTTGACAGTCACCACGGGGAAACCCATCTGCAGCGTCCAGCGGTCCATGATGGCACTGATGGAGTTGGGCAGAGGCACGTTGTTCTTGTCGACAGCCTGCAAGAGGTGTTGGCAGTGTTCCCTGGTGCTGTGGGGCCCAGCCCCATGCAGGAGCTGAACCCCTCGCCCAGCAGAGAATGCAGCCACTGGACCTGGAGGGGGTGGGGAGGGTGGGAGCAGCACAGAGAGCAGCCCACTCTGCTCATACCTCCTGCAAGTGCTCCCACAGGTCTGTGTACACGGTGTTTCCATAGGCAAAGGTGTGGAGGTAGGACTGCGGGAGAGCACCAGGAGAGCTGGGTGGGCAGGGGCAGAGGACCCCCGTGGAGCCCCAGGGAGGGACGGCCTGCCACAGCCCTACGCACCACAACACAGCCCAGCAACCCCCAGCTCACCTGCAGCCCCTCCTTGAACACGTCTTCAGTGAGGAAGTCAGAGAGCATCCGCAGCACCGACGCTCCCTGCGGAGACAGCAGTGAGGCTCTGAGCACACAGCGACCGCCCGGGGACCCCGCGCTCCCAGACCCTGCGCCCGATGCTGAGCGCCCACCTTGCTGTAGGCGATGCTGTCAAAGACCTCGCTGATCTGTGCTGGGGTGTTGATCTCATCTTCGCTGAAGGTGAGCGGGTGGGAGGTGGTCAGGGCATCGGTTGCCATCACCGTGTACAATTCATTCAGCACCATCAGGTCTTTCTGCGGGGTCGGTGCAGCCATCAGCGCAGCACTTGCAGCAGGGCAGCACCTGGGCGCTGGGCAGCAGGGGAGTGCCCGTGCCCTTGCCCCATATCCATGTCCCATGCCACATACCTGTCTCCCATGCCTCATGCCCCACACCCATGCTCCAGACCCCAGACACATGCCCCACATCCCATACCTGTGCTCTACGCAGCATACTCATGCTCTGTACACTATAACTCAACTCTGAGCTCCACACATGTGCCCCAAGTCCCATACACATGCCCCACATCTCATACACATGCCCTATGCCCTATGTCACTGGTACCAGCACTCACAATGTTCCAGGTGGGCTCTGCTGAGTCTGCGCCCAGGTACTCCACGTAGGAGGCAAAGCCCTCGTTCAACCACAGGTCATTCCACCACCGCAGCGTCACCAGGTTCCCAAACCACTGCAGAGGAGTAGAGCGCCCTGTCAGCAGGGCACTGTGGCTACAGGGGCAAGCAGGGGCCCGGCAGGTACCTGATGGGCCAGCTCGTGGGCGATGACGGTCACCACTCTTTCCTTGTTGCCAATGGAGGAGTAGGCGTTGTCATAGAGCAGCGAGTTCTCCCGGTAGGTGACCAGTCCCCAGTTCTCCATTGCGCCCGCGTTGAAGTCGGGCAGGCCGACCTGATCTGGGGGAGGGAGAGGTGCCATTGGCACACGGCCACAGCTGGAGCAGCTGCCAGCAGCACAGCATGGCCCCACGCCCCCCGCACCCACCGGACTTGGGCAGTGGGTATGCCGTGTTGTAGTGTCTCTCAAAGAAGCTGAGGATGGGTCCGGTCTTCTGGAGTGCGTATTCGCCCTGCCCTTCAGCAATGGCTGTGGGGCGGCCCCAGATGCGGATCTGAGAGGAGAGATGGTGCCGGGCTCAGCTGCTGCCCGGGCTGTGCCCCAGGTGCACGGGACGGCATTCAGCTCACCTGCACCTCTCCAGTGTTGTTTTCTACGTAGTCAAACTGGCTGACGATGAAGGCCAGCAGGTAGGTGGACATCTTGGGCGTGGGGTTGAACTGGGTGACGTTCCAGCTCTGCCCATCCATCTCCAGCTGGTAGGTGTCTGTGGAGAGCAGGGAGCAGCTCAGCCGCCCGCCCGCCCACCCGGCACAGAGCTCCCCTGCCCCACTCACTGTTGGCAGGCATGTTGGAGATGGCCTTGTGATCGGAGGGGTGGATCATCGTCACCGTGAAGACGGCCTTCATGGCTGGCTCGTCAAAGCAGGGGAAGGCTTTTCTCGCATCAGGGGCCTGCATCTGCGTAGTGGCCACCACCCTGCAAGCGAACCCGTCAGCAGCAGCGCCCAGGCTCTCCGTCCCCTCTGCCCAGGCGCTGACACCCCATGAGGAGCCAGACCCCTCCGCTCCCTGCCCGCACACAGGGGCACGTGCACACAGGCAACCTGCGCTCATGGAGAGGCTCCTGGCACCACGGCCCCCTCACCCTCAGCGCCTTGCCCCCTCCCCAGTCTTGCACCCACTTGGTGACGTTGCCCTCAGTGTACTCGCTGCGGTAGAATCCAGCCAGATCGTCGGCCAGCTCCCCGATGAAGCTGCTGAAGAGGCGGTAGCGCTGGCCCTGCTGCAGCGGCCCAGCCAGCTGCACCACCAGGTACTGCGTGTTGGTCTCCAGCCACGTGTTGGTGATGGCGGGCGGTGCGGGGCCGTCCACCGCATGCAGCGAGGCGAGGAAGTTGCCCTGCAGCGTGTAGTTCAGCTTGTTGCTGTGGATCAGGATGAGGTCGGTGGCTTCCTCGCAGATGAAGACCACGCTGCTGTTGCCCCTAAAGATGTACATGCTGTTGACATCGGGCGTCAGGAAAGGCTGCAGCGTCACCTCGTAGCTCTCGGGCTTCAGCGCCGTCGGCAGCCGCCAGCGGTTCCAGGGGTTGTTGGGGGCAGTGGTGGTGCTGGCGGCGGTGGTGGTGGTGGTGTCGGTGCTGCTGCTGCCTCCTGACGACCTGTTCTTCTCCTGTGCATACACCACAGACAGCGCGATGATGGTGGCCACGGCACCCAGCGCCAGCACGATGCCCACGATGCCCACGCTCTTGCTGATGAAGAAGCCGGCTGCCATGGCGAGGCTGCGGAGCGGCGTGCAGAGGAGCTGTGCTGGGCTGGCACGGCTTTTAGCCTCTTGCTCCCACAGGGTTTATTAGTCCAAGTTAATGGGTGAACAATTAAATGACCAGGATGAGCCTTCCGCCCGCCCGCCTCCCCGCACCACAGCTGCACTAATCCCGAGCACTGGGGCAGTACGAGAGCTCAGGATTGCACCACCAGGGATGGGCAGCACAGGAGTGGGCATGGCTCTGGGCCAGGGCTCCTGGCATCCCTCCAGGGCACCGGTGTGGCCCTGCAAAAGGAGGGACAGAGCGGGGTCACAGCCAGCAGCCGCATCCCCACCTCACCACAGGGAAGGCAGTGCAGCAGAGTGGGTGCTGGCCCCCAGCACGGGCACAGCCACGGCCCCCTGTGCAGGCAGGGAGAGCATGGCATCGCAGCCGGGGGTCCTCAGAGCCAGGGACGAACTCCCCTGCCTGCAGCCCTCTCAAAGTCCAGGGCTGCATTAACAGGTGTGCGCTGGGAGTTCAAATTCCAGTACTCGTGAACCCCGCACAGGCTGGCACAAGCCCAGCAGCTCCCCATGTGCCCCCTGAGCTGGGGATCCTGACCTGCACAGAACACAGCTGGGAGAATGCTGGTGGGCCTGGGGGTTCAGTTTGGCCTGCACCTCCCAGCTGGGAGCTGAGCAAAGGCGCTGGGCCAGGTGCACTGCAAGTGGCACGTGGGGCAGGACACACCTTCCTCGTGCACCTGCCAACATGGGAGAGCAGCCCCAACCACACTGGGCCGAGCCCCCTGAGCTCTGCCCAGGGCTCCCATGGGCACAGCCAAAGACAGAGGAGCAAAGTCCCCATGCAGGGCAAGGTGGGGAAGAGGAAACATTGTGTGCACCTCACGCTGGGAACAGAAACTCATTTTCCCAAGGTCTGATACCTCCAGCAGTGCAACCCGGGCTGGTACAGATGGCAGAGATACAGGAACAAAGGGCAAAGCTGGGCAGAGGCTGAGCGGTGTCCTCAGGGCACTGCAGCTCCCAGGTGTGCCCAACACTGTGAGCCGTGCCCAGCAGCTCCCAGGTGCACATCTCTGAGGCTGAGGAGCAGTACCACTTCCCTGCACATCCCCACACGGCTCACCATACACACCGCCCTGCAAAGGCGCTGTGTCGGGGAACACCGTGCCCCGAACCGCGGCTGGGGGGGCTGCCTGGAGCCCGGGGGTGCAGCTGTGCCCCCCGCGCAGACATCTCGGCACCGCACTGCGGGCATTCGACCCCGCACTCCTCCCACCTCTGCCAGCTCTCTCCAGCCCCGCCCGCCCCCCAGCCCGCGTCCCCGCTTGCACACCCGCAAACATCGCCCCATGGGCGGGCACGGACGCGACACCTCTGGCCCCGGGGCGCACAGATAGGGGCTCACCCCACAGCCCCCCCACGCACACCCCATAGCCCTCCGGAGCTGCCCTCTCGCTCCGTCTCCCCGCGCCCCTCCCGGAGCCCTCGCTCACACCGCGCTCCATTCCCCCGTGCAGCCGCAGCTCCCGTCCCCCCGCCCGGCCCGCGGAGGCCCGGCAGACCCCAGCCCCATCCGTGCCCCACTCACCGCCCCGCGCTCAGCCGCGGCGAAACGCGGCTCCCGGGACTCCCGTCGGTGCGCCGACCGTCGCTCGCCGCCCCGCTGCCGCTGCCCCGTTAGCTCGGGAGGCAGCGGGAGGAAAGTTTCCTCCCCGAACTCCAGGGGAAGTAACCTGAACCGCTGCTCGTCACCTTAACCCCTGGGCTGCTGGCTGGGGGGCGGGCAGCGAGGGTCCCGGAACGGACACCGCGTGCCCAGCACAGGGCCGGGGCCCGGCACAGGGCAGGCGCCCCAGGGCCGGGCATAGGGGGCGTCTCAGATGCACTACTGCCCTGTCTGGGAGGCACTGCTCGGGGGCACCAGCCTTTACCAGCACACTCAGCCCCAGAAGTGGCAAGGAAGGGAACAGGGCAGCACTCGACAGCAACACCAGCAGGCTGTGCTCGCCCAGCACCTAAGCAGCCTGCAAACCATCCCTGCTCGGGGGTGCCACACCGCTCAGCCCCTACCCAGCACCCCATGTCCCACCCGGCACCCCGTGTCCCTCCCAGCACGCTGTGCCCCATCCAGCTCCCTGTGTTCCACCTGGCACCGCCTGCCCCAGCTGCAAGCAGCCTACGGGGCTGCGTGGACGTGGATAGATTTGCAGTTGGCAGCCGTGTGCAACACCCGGGAATCAGGGCTGGAATGTTTATCCCCTGGGAGTGAGCAGGCTCACCCAGTCCCTGGCAGGGTGAGGGCAAACACCGTAGTTCGGGCTGTGCAGGTGCCTGCAGAGGGGCTGGGCGCATGCCAGCCTCCACCTGCCCACATCCCCCCACCTCACCAGTGGTGAGGGGTCTGGAGGATGGGGGAGTTCCCACAAGAGACCGAGCTCAGGGGAACCCTGCGCCCGTGGGTGCCAAACACAGCCCAGATGGTGACAGGGCAGTACCTGGCAGCCATGCAGGGCCGGGACGGGGCCCCAACGCCAGTTCTTGCAGGCAACTGGAGAGCACAGAGCTGGGCGGTCCCTACGTTGCTGGGCTCAGAGCTGCGGTTCTCCTGGGTGTGGGGATGGGGTCGGGGGCTCAGCCCATCCCATTCTCCCTGCCCCGTCCTGCACGTGGCAAGGCCGGGGCTACGGCAGGGAGCAGCAGCGCGACTTACCCAGCTCTGTGCTTCGCAGCTCCAGCAGGATACAGGAAAGGGCGGTGGGGATGCAGCCGGTACCGGAGGTGCCAGAACGTCTCCTTGTCATGTGCAGCTAGGCACGTCCTGCGCCAGCGACAGCCACGGCACTGGGCTAGAGAAAAGGCACTGCCCACTGCAGCCAGGATTCCCCCAGCAGCACTCCACAAGCCCCCCCTGCATACCGGACCTGGGCAGAAGCACCGCGCTGAGCCCCCCACTGCCCTGACCCCTCAGACCCCCACAACCACAGAACCCATCCCCCCCACCTCCGGACTCATCTCTCTGCACTGCTCACAGCTCCCACCACCGCGTGGCAGCCATGCGGCAGGAGGAGGAGGAGGAGGAGGGCTGGCAGCGATGAAGAAGTGGCTCAGCTCAGTGACCCCCCGCGTGCTGCTGGGGGCCGGTGGCCAGATGGGGAAGGGTTAAGTGGTGGGGAGAGCAGAAAAATTCCTTCCAAGCAGAGTCACTGTTTCCCTGCCAGGGGAAGTGGAGGCAGAGCCCGCGGGAGCGCAGCTGGCGGGAGGGAAACGGCACAGGAAGGGGCCCCCGCACCCAATGCGGGATGGTGGCCAGGAGGGGCTGTGGGGCACCTCTGCCCTGAGATAGGGCTGCCCAGCCCTGTGTTCACTGGCTGCTGGCCCGGGGCACTGGGCAGGGATGAAGACAGGAGGTCACAGGCTTCCACACTCTAGCAGGAGGCAAAGACGTATCCCGGTGTGCTGGCAGGCACCTTGCCGGAGCCACACTGCCACAGCCCCCACGGGCAGCACCCACAGCCCCATTTCCCCCCCACTGGCCAGACCCACAGCCCCATCCCAGCAGCACACACCACAGACAGGTTCACACAGTGGTTTATTTGGAAAAGGACACGCTCACTGCTCACATGCACGCGTTCCTGGCACAGCAGGGCACACTGGCAGCTCCCAGCAGCTCACACCCCACTGCCCTGCCCCGTGACATTAGTGCCAACCTCTCAGGACCCCAGCAGGAGCAGGGTGGGCAGGGGAACACAGGCAGGCAGCGCGAGCCCCGCAGCGGGAGGATGGAGGAGCAGCACCGCCACGGCTCCGCCACAGCCACGGGCACATTTCTGCACTGAGGAATCCCAAGAAGAGTCAGCCCCAGATCCGGCCCCCCACGCCGGGATGCTCACATGAACTGTGATAGGTTGGGCACTTTGATGTTGATGTCCCCGATGTTGATGTTGCGTGGGATCTCCGGCAGGTTGATGTTCTTCACGGCTGAGACGGCGCGGGATGGCGCAGCCGAGAGCCCCCCCTGGGGGGAGCGGTGGGTGCCAGCCCTGTGCCAGCCCCACACCCAAATCCCGCCCCTGCTGTCACTGCATGCTGCATCCTCACGATGACAGCGCCAACGGGCCATAAAGGTTTCACTGCACGCTATTAACCTTGACAGCATGGCAATAACCACGTGCTGGCTGCTCCCCACACCCCTCAATGGGGAGCACCCACCCTATGCCCTCTCCCTGGGGACACGCAGGCTGGGATGGCTCCGTTCACTCCTGGCCCCACAGCCTGCAGCATGCTGTCCTCCTGCACAGCACCCAGAGCCCACCCTGCCCTGCACCTACACTGGGCACCCCTCTCCAAACTGCTGCTCACCTCCGCCTTCTCCAGCTTGCTCTGCGCCTCCGCCTGTGCCACAATCTCATTCATGTTGGTCTCCAGCACCATCCCACCGATCACCACCTCCTGCAGGATGTAGTGCACCTGCAAGGCAAGAGCAGCATGTGGCCCCAGCGTGCCATGGGGCAAACCTGGCCACTACCCCATGCCGGCCCCCCACCGCTCCCCCACCCCAGGATGGAACAGAGCCATTCCTGAGCAGCAAGCTGCCCCCCAGCACACACAAACAAAGCCCTGGATGACGTTTGGAAGATGAGAACAAGAGTGCAGGTGGCCGTGCCACTGCAACACACCTTTGGTCACGGTAGCAACACAGCTCTCTGCTGAGCCAGCATTTTCCAATAATCTCCCTGCACAGATAACAAATAACTGATTTATGGGTTTCTGGTTGCTTCCATTATAAAGGCTGTTACTGGAAGATGGTTGTTATGATATTGGTTTATGGCCTCATGACAGCTGATTGTGCCTGTAAATACTCCGTGGCAAACATCACCAGAGCAATGCTGTGAGAAATAAAATGCTGCCAAGAACCTTTCCCTGAGCAGGGAAAAACCCAGCTCTGAGCACAGCCTGCCCCGCGCTGCCCCACTCTGACAGCACAGCACAGAACATCAGGGATGCAGGAAACGGTGCTCCTTTTAGATCTGGCATCAGCCTAGCTTGGACCCAACCCAACCGGGCAGCAATCCCAAGCAACCTTTGTTTTCCAAGGAATAATCCATGTCCTCTCTGGGACCTTGCAGCTGCCGAGCAAAACACGCAGCCACACCATGGGGCCGAGCTGCGGGATGGCACCTGGCAGTGGCCAAGCTCAGCACGGCTGTGAGGCTGGGTGTGAGCACAGCCAGTGCATGTGAGCCTGGGGGGCTGAGCCGGGACTCTCCCCAGCAGAAACCCTCCTGACTCTCTCCTCCGAATCCTCATCTCATCAGCAGAGATCAGAGGGGGGCGGTTCGTGCCGCTGCACAGCGCCGGGTCCCGACCCATAGGAGCACTCCATGCCCGACACAGCCACAGACAGGGCTGTCACCACCACCTCCTTTCTCACCACTCTCTCCCCTCCTCTCCCTCTCCTTTTACTTCCTTTGATAAGAGCATTTTTCCTGACAAGATAACCAGCCTAGCGACATCTCTGCAAGCTGAGAGCCAACCAACCCAATGGCAGAGTCAGAGTTACAGAACCAGGTGCCAGCACGTCGAGCAGCCCTGACCACTGGAGCACACTTCCACATTTGTTTCTCTGTCACGGAGTTCAGAAGTTGGTATCCAAAACAGGAAGGGAACATTTACAGCACCACTGATTTTCCCACTTGTTTTCTGCAGGCAGGTTTTGCCTCCCAGCAGGCAGGAAAGCTTATCAGCCCGCACCGCCCCTGCGCACAGCCCGCAATCTGCAGCTCCATCCGGGACATCAAAGGAGGACATTTCCTCCCTGAGATTCTGTCCAGCTGAAGAGGAAGCGCAGAGGTTGTGCTCAAATCGAAGTTTACCAAACACTACGTTCCAAACACTTCCATTGTTCCTCCCTTTGCTGCACACACCCCTGTCCCCGCAGCAGCCCTGGCAGGGTGGCACAGCCCCGGGCGGCGGGGTTCCACTCTCGGCACAGTGACCCCGAGCTCAGAGCCAAGCGCTGCTCCCAGTGGAGCAGAGGGAGCACACCAAGGCACACCCACCTTGTCCATGTGGAAGATGAGGTCCAGCTCGCAGACGTTCTCAAAGCACTTGTCCAACGTCTCCACAAACACCTGAGGAAGAGAAGGGGAGTGAGGGCAGCACAGTGAGACCCACACACAGAGCCTCAGCCCCTCCCGGACCCCCAGCCCTCGCTGCCCCCTACCCAGGGGCGGACCCTCCCCGCTCTCATCGGGGCTGGGCACGTGGAGCCGAGCACTCGGTGCCGTGCCGGGGATGGCGCGGGGCAGGCAGCGGCACGGGCAGCTCTGCAGAGCGCCGCCCATAGAGCCGGGACGACAACCCCCCCGCTGCCGTCGTGCCGAGCTGCTCCTGCCCACGGATCCCGCAGGACCTCAGCCGGGCTCAGCCAGGGTTAAACAACAGCCGTCCCAGAAGCGCACACGGGGACCGAGAGCTCTTTAAAGCACTTTCTGCTCTCGGAGAAGCTCACTCAGCACCGCCCCACGACCAGTAGTGCGGGCTGCTCAGCCGCCGACCGACGGAGCGCAGCTCGGGGCTCCCCGCAGCACCGACCTGGATGAGATCCAGGATGCCCAACTCGCTCTCGGAGGAGTCCACGCAGAACACGAAGTACAGCGTGGCGTAGTGCCGGTAGATGAGCTTGCAGTCAGGGCTGCCGAACAGACTGCGGGGGGATGCGGGGCTCAGGGCCGGCCGCTCGCAGCCCCTTTCCCCCCCCGGGCCGGTCGTTGCGGTACCTGCCGCACTCCAGGAAGTTGCAGACGTGCTCGTCGCGCCGCAGCACCATATGGAAAGTGTCGCGGAGGATCTGCTGCTGCGCCTCCTCCGCCTGCGGGCACCGAGCGGCCACGGCCTCGGACCCCGCCCGCCCCTCCCGGCCCCCCAGCGCACAGCCCCCCGCCCCGCACCAGGTGCCGGTAGAAGCGGACGAGCCGCGGCTTGCCGTGGTTGTTGAACACCAGGATGGCGTTGATCATCCCGGCGGCTGCACGACACGGCCGGAACCGGAACCGGGGCGCGACGGCCTCATCACCCCCCTTTCCCCCCCTCCCCCAGGAAGCCCCCCGCCCTCCCCGGAAACGCGGCGGAGCTCCGGGGCCTCACGGCCGCCGCTCCCCTCCGCGCCGCCAGGGGGCGCCACAGCCACGGCGCGCCGGTACCGGGAGGGGCGGGGCTGCGCGGCGGGGGACGCCAATGGCTGCGCGAGGACTCCCGGCCCGGCGAGCTGATTGGCTGTAGGTGTCACTACCGCCAATCGCCATTGGTTGAGGCTGCGGCAGGGATCGCGTCCGCACGCTCCGATTGGCTGCGGCTGAGAGGCTGCGGCACGATCGGGCCCGCCGTCGATCGGGGCCGCCAGACGGCCGCGAGGATCCTTCCTGCCCGCCAGCTCTGATTGGCTGAGGCTGCTCGGGGCAGCGCATCCAAATATCGCCTCTGTGCGGGGCTTGCACTGCGATAAGCGTCGTGTCCGCGCGCTGCGATTGGCTGCGGCCGCTACGTTGCCACAAGCACCGTGCCCGTGTGTTGCTATTGGCTGAGACTGCTGCAAGAGTCCTGTCTGCGCGTTCGTATTGGCTGAGCCCGGTGGGCTGCTGGAAGGATCCTGTCTGCGCGCCCTGATTGGCTGAGGCCCCTGGGCTGATGCGAGCTCGGTGTCTGCACGTTTGCAGCGGCCGAGGCTGTGCTGGGTTTTCTCCGCCGTGTCTGGGGGCTGCAGCGCCCAGCAGCAATCCCGTGTTAGAGGGGAGCCAGCTGCGGCTGCTCCACAGGCGACCTGCCGGTGGCTGGAGCTCAGCTGGGAGCGATGCTGGTTGTGCCTTTGAGAACGAGACGTAGCAGTACCTGGGAGAGAGCAGTGGGAAAGTAGAACAGCAGTTTTGCTGGCACAAAGCTCTGCGGGAGGGCCGAGGTGCTGCAGAGCCAGGGCAGAAGTCCCCCGCCATGGGAGTTCCCTGTGTGTCACGGAGATGCCCACAGCACAGCGGCGGGACGGGGCTGCCAGAGCTGCTGCCCACAGAGAGCAGCCTGCGGTGCAGAGGGAGCTTTGAGGGGGCACGGCCTCTCTCACCGTGCACGAAGCTGTGCAGGTGGGAGCCCCGTGCGATGGGCTCGGTGGGAAACCCACGCAGGATCCGTGCGGGAAGGCAGCGTCCGTGGGAGGGACCCCAGGCCGAGCACAGCCACCAGCACAGAGAGTGGCAATGGCGGTGCTGTGTGCTGGCTGCACTGCTCGGGGAGAGGAGGGACCGGGGCCGGGCGGATGTTTTTGTTTACCCAGAGCTACAGTTTCGGCCCGCTAGCAATGGGTGACCGCCTGCACCACCTCCCGTGCTGGGCAGCGCCGCAGCTCGGCGCTCCGCGGGGATGCTGGGCGCGGGCCGCCATTGGCTGCTGCGTGGAGGGGCCGCTCTGCGCGCACGCTGATTGGCTGACGGCAGATCCCCCCCCACCCCCGGGCAGCCCGGGCTGACCGCTGCCCCTCTGCGTCCGTCCTCAGCGGCGCCCAAACCGCTCCTCACGGCGGCCCAGCGCTCCTCAGCCCCGCCCGTGCGGGAGGACAGTGAACTGCGTCAGCCCTACAGATGATCCTTGAATACCTGCAAATATTTGCATGGGAAAACCGAGCCCTAACAAAGCCCACGCAGCGGGGAAAGGCTGCGGCCACACGGAGGTGCGTGGCAGTGCTGTGCGCGCATGGTGGAGGATCTGCCTTCTTTGAAGCAGGCCCTCCGAGCAGAAATGCTGTTCCGGGGTCACCGGGCCACCCTTCACACGTGTAGTGACAGCCGTGATCTGTCACAGCTCACACGTATCAGCAGTGTCAGTTTGCACATAACGATATGGAAACCGGAGTGAAAATGAGAAGCGTCTGCCAGACAAAGGACTGCATTTTCAGACACCTCTCGGCGGCGATGAGTCTGTCCAGCTCCGTGCTTCCATGGAGATGAGCCTCAGCCGCAGCCCCGCCGCCTTCGCTCCCTCTCCCATCGCCCCACGGACCCATCGCCTCCCGCTCCCCCCTCGCCCCGGTGCAGCCGTCACACCCCGTCCCCCCGCGGCCCTCCACCGTCCTCCCCACATCCCGTGCCCTGAGCGGTGCTCCCCGGCCACGGGATGCTCTGGGGTTTCAGGGAGGGGGGAAGTTCTGCCCGCCCAGGGGTGGCCCTTCCCCCTGGGGGGAGCCGTGCCCCTCGCGGTGCCCCTCGCCGTGCCCTCGGGTCGCCCAGGTCCCCGCAGCACGGGGCCGTGGCTCCGGGAGGGGATGCCGAGTCCCGGCAGCAGCCGTGCCGCGCCCCCTCGTGCTGCCGCCCCCGGAGCGACCCGCGCAACCCGGCCGGACGGGCGGCCTCGGGGCCGGGGCTGCGGGCGGGGGCCGCTCCAGACCCACGGCTACAGGTGGTCGCGGCGGGCGGCGGCCCGGACCCGGCGGGGCGGGGAGGAACTCGATGGCCGCCCCCGCTCCGGGCAGCGCCGCAGCCCCGGCGGCGAGCGGGCCGCGCCCCGCAGCTTTGTTCCCCGGTGCCGGGGGCGGGCCGGGCTCCGGGCGACCGCCGGCGGCCGGAGCGGGTCGGGGGGTGGGCGCAGGGCCGCTCGGATCCCGGGAAACTTGTCCGGGCGCGGCGGGGGGGACGCGGGGGCACGGCGGCGAGATAAAGGGCCCCGGCGCCGCCGCGCTCCTCGCTCCCGGCCGAGTTAGGAGGAGCTGTTTTGCATCCCTTCACGTCAGCCTGCCTCATTCCCTCCTTCCTTCCTTCCTGCGCGCCCAGCGCCGGGCCCGCGGCCCGCAGCCGCCGTCGCCCCGCGCCCTGCGGAGCCGCCGCGGGAGCGCACGGTGAGTCCCCGCCGCGCCCCGGGGCCGCAGCCCCCGCCCGGGGCCCCGCGCGTCGCCGCCCGCCCGCCCGCCTCCCCGCGCCGGGCCGGGAGCGATGGCGGCGGGCGGGGGGTGCGGGGCGGCGGCGGTGCCCGGTCCGCACGTGGGTCCGCCCGCCCCGCTCCGCAGCCGCAAGTTTCCCCACCGCCGCCGCTCGCAAAGTTTCTCCGCGGCCGCGGGGCCGAAGTTGCGGAGGGGCGGGAGGGGGCCGGGCGGGCCGGGCTCGGCTGCGGGGCGTGGGGTCGGGACCTGTTGCGGGGCGGCAGCCGGGTACGGCACGCTCCCACGCCGGCACCGGGCCCCGAGCGCGGCGTCCGGGGCGGGGGCTGCGGGGGAGGTGCGGGTAGAGTGGATGGGGGGCGAAGGGGGGTCGCCGGGGTCGCGCGTAAATGGGACCGCGCTGCGGGGCGGGGGGCAACGCCAGAGGGGTCGGGGCCGGCTGCGCCGTCCCTGTGTCTCCGTCGTCCCCTGGCTGTCATCCGCTCCTCACGCGCGGAGGTCCTCGTGGAAGGCGTGGGAGAGCGGCGGGGCTGCGGGCGCACCGTGCGGCCGCCGAGGTGCGAGGGAGCGCGGGGCCGGGCGGAGGGGCGCGGAACCGGCCGGCTGCACCGGGTTCGGGAGTCGGGGTGCCGTCCCGGCCGGGAACCGCGGTGCGTCCAGAGAGAGGGGAAGGGCCCCGGGGCGGGGGTGACACCGCCGCCGTCCCCGGGAGCCGCCCCGCCGGGTCCAGGGCTCCGCTCCTTTTGTCCCCCGGGGGCTGCGGGAGGGGCCGGGCCGGGCACGGCTGTGCTGGGTAGTGCTTGGCCGTGCTTTGGGCTGCGCTCGGAACTTCCTGCAGCCTTTTAGTAGCTCCCTGATAACTGGCAGGATGTGGTGGATACATTCGTTACAATTAATGAGTAAGTCAATCGTGAGTAGTTTCTTTGTCAGCGTTCGGGCTGGCAAGAGGTGGCAGGAGGCACCCAGCAGCACCTTCGCTCCCAGGAGTGGCCATGGGGGCTCCCACAGCAGCACGGGCTCAGCTCGAGGTCTCCCAGCTGTCACTGATTCCCAGCAGCCCAACACGCACACAGCAGCTCCATGCACGCTGCTGCAGTGCGGCCCAGCCAGCGGCCACGCTGCCAAGGACACAGCCCAGGTGTGTGGGAGACTCTCAGCCCACAGCTGTCCCAGGGAAGCTTCAGGAAGGCACAAGAGCAGCACTCCCTCCACCACCTCCTTTCAGCCCCTTGGCAGCGAGTTGAGGACCAGCAGCCGTGGCCTCAGCAGCGGGGCACTGCGGATGCATTTCCCCAACAAACAACTCCAGAAACTGAGAGCCATCAGAGGTGGGGCCTGGATGGGTGCAGCTCTGAGGCTCTGAGATTAATGCCCTGTGAACGCCCTATGCCCCGTGCAGCAGCACATAGGGCTGCGGTGACTCAGTGTCACACACCAAGGAACTGAGCGGTCGAAGTCGGTACTGGCAGTGCTGCAGTGGGAGCCTCCTTTCGTGGTGCCCGGCACCTCTGTGCTGGTTCCTGCTGACACCACGAGGGCAGGTTGGAGCTCTGCAGAGGTGCGTTGAGTTGGCTTTGTTGGGCAAACACACAGAGAAGGCTTCTTGTTTATCAATCAGTTTAGGGAACAGCACAGAGCAAACACAGCCCTGCTGTGCCAAACGACGCCAGCAGCAGGTGGGCAGCGATGGCTTGCAGTGTGCCAGGAGTTCCTCTGGTACGCAGAGCCCAGCCAGCCCAGCACACAGCAAAGCAGCCATCCTGAGTGCTGTGTGTGTTCCTCAGCTCAGGCCTGGCCAGGTGCAGGATGCTTCTTTATCTGAGGAATTTTTCCCCCTGATTCCGATGGGGACCTGCTCGCAGAACAGCATTTTCTTTCTCCAACTTCAAACTGAACGGGGCGAGGGGGATTTTAACCTCTCCCCACGGTGGTCTTTGCTCTCAGCTCCTTGACGGTCATTTGAATGACAATAGGGCATTTTTAACAATCTAAATAGAAACAACATGTAATAATCCTGCCTAAAAACCTCTTTGTGAAGCATGCAGCTCCCCTGCTCCAGTTCCCCTGCAGTCTGTGGGATGCTCACTATGAGATATCACGGCCTTTTCTGTAAAGGAGAAGTGAGAGGAGGGAGGCTTGTCTTTTCCAAACATGAGATCTGTTGAATTTCTGGGAACATTCTCGAGTAGGAACAC